TGCGAGCGACTTTAATAAGTGGAGGGGTGTTATTTCGTTGTTAGCTCAGTCCACAGTTAAAGTGGTTTATTTTTTTTTATTTTTTTTATAGTCAAACATTAATAAATCCACAAACGAGAGGGGGATACGTGTGTTGAGCACTAGCTAGTTACTGTCATTTGACCCCATTGTGTGAGAAAAAAAACTGCTCACGTTTGTACGTAGCGCCCTCTGTCGGTGGAGTTACAAACGTGAATTACAAGGTTTAAAACATGGTTTCATTCAATTACATTCAAAGCTATGTCGTTGTTTTAAGTTTATTTTACCGTGTTGTGTACACAAGACACCAAAAATACAGTTACATTGGTCAAATATGTCATTTATTTTACAAAATTATACATTATTATACAGCTCGGACTTAAAAAATGATGGGGAGCTTCATTCTCAGTTTCACCTAAATCACACAACAAGCAAAGCCTGTCTTCCTGAGGAGTGTCAGTAAACCTACTGGTCTCTAGGGCTAATGGTAATGTTCAATGCAAGTGTGCACATAGGGATCTTTGTTTAACTATTATGTACGAAGCTTTTGATCTAACCAAAACTGGATTACCAACCGGGCAAAACAGTCACCAGCCACAAGACTCCAGAGGAGTCGCGGGGACCCCAAAAGCCCCAGGTTGTCTCTATGTGTCATTAACTATTAATATTATGAGGCAGTTACTTTGTGTAATTTCATTGTTTGCACATTTATTTGGTTAAAACCACTAAACTGCAGCTCCTCCTGTTTGGCCAGATTATGAGGGACCCAGGGGCAAAAAGGAGCTGCCTGTCTAGCCTTACCTGTTCCTCTCCTTGTCTGTTCATTGTGTAGAGTATTTTGGGCTATTACAATGTTACTTGGCTGCATGGATGGATTATGAGATGATGATCCCTTAGGCATACATACAGGATGGTTCAGTGGTTAGCACTGTCGCCCAGATCTGGAGTTGATCTTGGAGATCTAACTTAGTACCATAACCCTGTATTTCAGCGTTTAATGTACCTTATTTATTGCCCCTAATTCCTGCATTTTGAGAGGGACTACACCAGTTTACAGTGTTGTTTAAAATGCAATATCTTTCTCTTCACATCTTTTATTTTCGACTGAATTTAAGGACCAAAAACACATATTTGTGAAGCAATTCTTCTGATAGATAATTCGTAAGTTCTCAGGAGATCTTGATGACTTACACAGCAGCATTTATTAAAGCTCGGTCGAGGAGAATAAAGATCAGCTGCACAAGTGGAGTCATTGTGTAGATGACAAACCAATTCTGAGGGTTTCTTCCTGGCAGGAAGCATTTTATTATTAGGTTATTCTTCACCCATCTATATTATCTTCGTTTAGGAGCAAAACAAGACGCTCCGCTTACCTCAGTTGACCTAAAACATGTTAAATGCCAATCTCAGTCACACACAACACATTCTACAGAGACAGTCAGTCTTTTTGGTTTATCTTAACCTTGAGTATAGCCTCTTATGAAGCTGCATAAGATGACCTGGGGACTGATATTACCCTTAAAGAAGGATAGTTCCTTGACAATATTCAGTTAATAAAATGTTGTAATGACAAAGCGGTAACACACTTGTTTTTAAAAGTCAAAAAGGAAAAAGTTTGCTGAGCCAAAAACATTTTTCAAGACACAATCCCACAATAACTTTAGCTTGAAGTAGGAAATCAACTGTATGAATTAATGTATGTTATTCCTTTGATTTTTAACAATAGTCAATACAATTATGAGTCTTCTTTACTTCACTCTGTATCTCTGCTTTTCAAGGGGAATCATTTTTCTAATCTACAAAAACTGAGATGTAAGAATCTGACAGAAATAACAAGTCCGCTTTAGGCCGGACTTTCCCTTTTACACCAAATCTTTAAGGGGCAGTAAGGAGGGGTTGGATCCTCCACTCACGCAATCTGGTTTCCAGCTCTCGTATGTGTCCTTGAATGGTTTTCTAAATCCCTGACAGCTCCAGGGACGCTGATCACTGACAATTAAACATTCCCGAGATGGAAGAGGCAAACAAATGGATCAGTAAAGCATCAGATTAAATGCTGATGCAAATATTCATGAATGCATTAAAAATAGGAGCCCATAGAATAACAGAGCAGCAATGTGACAATATGAGATGATGTATGAGACTTCTTCCTTCAGTCAGGTGTAATAAAGTAAATAAAAGATAATTAAATATGCTTATAATCACATAATGAGTGTGGAAGTTTGCTCAGGTTTGCCATTAGTACCATAGATTTACAGTACATTTATAGTGAGATACTATACAACTTCAAGTATTATCTGCTTTGTTTTAGTGCTGTGCAGGCAGAAGACTAATAAGCATGCCAACAAAAGCGTCCTCAAGGACAGTTCATAGCCACATCTAACATCAAGGTTGTGACGCTCTTCCAGATTAATGACTGGAAAAGTCATCAGATATTGCAGAGGCCAACACAAACTCAAATATACAACATGACCTCCAGCTAAAATAGTTTTAAAGGTTGAAAAATCCATTCACAAAGTGCTCTATTCTGCAGGTACAGAGTCGGGGCCCTCGTCCCGTAGGACGGCTGTCTCTAGGACCTCGGAGGTGGGCGTGTCAGGCGGCTCTTGAGAGAGATCTTCAGAGCATCTGCTCACAGTGGGTGAGATCACATCTGGACTTGTGTCGCAGGACTCTGTGCTCTGCTCCGAGGTGGCTGTTGTAATAGTTCTGGCAACACTGGGTGGAACTGGGTCAAACTCATCGTCGTCATCCTCCAGGTTGGGTGCCTCGTGGATATCTGCCAGAAGAACAGAGATATTTTTAGAAAGAATGATTTGGAAAAGTTGCCTGTGCTTATAAACTGAAGAATGGAAAGAAAAAGCTGACTCACTGCTGAAAGCTTCTGGGTACTGTTTAGCAATCTTCCCTTTTAGCGTCCTGGAGAAGCAGAGGAGACCAATAATCAGAGGTTGTGTGTGTGCGTGTGTGTGTGTGTGTGTGTGTGTGTGTGTGTGTGGGGGGAGTAAT